TTGTAAGCTTATAATTCAAATGATATTAGCCAGGGTGTTCAGGGAAACCAGAAAGAAATCAATTAGCCATAATAATTTATTGTGCCTTGGATACCAATCAACTCATTTTTTAGAGGGATTTAAAAGTAGTATTTAATCTTGTGAGTGGATTAAAAGAACATCAGCAAGAAAAGACTTTAACATATACATATAAATGTACATATTTTCCTCCTATAATATGTTATGTATTTGATAGAATTCTTATTATTTATTATATTTTTCTCATGTGGTAAATTGTATATGTCTCCTACTACATATGTTTATGTAAATAAATACCCCACTATATGTTTTATCTATATATCTTGTTCTGTGTTATGTAAGTATATATATAAATATATATGTATATATTTATATTTATCCTCTACTGTGTAGTATACCCATCTATACTGTAGATACCCATCTATATATTATAGGCATTGTAATGTAGAGACTATGGAGCCAAACTGACTGTACTAGATACATGACTTTGTGACCTTTGGCAAGTTCTTTTGCCACTCTGACCTCAGTTTTATCATTTGTAAAATAGAGATAATAATAACTTTTGTGTAGGGTTGTTGTGAATATTAAATAAAAGGCAGGGCCAGTGTGTGGCTCATACCTATAATCCCAGCAATTTTGGAGGCCAAGGTTAGTGGATCACTTGAGGCCAGGAGTTCAAGAATAACCTGGACAACATAGCGAGACCTCATCTCTACAAAAAATAAAAAATTAGCTGGGCATGGTGGTGCATGTCTGTAGTCCCAGCAACTCCAAAGACTGAGGTAAGAGGATCACTTGAGCCCAGAATTTGAGGTTGCAGTGAGCCACAGTCGTGTCACTGCACTCCAGGCTGGGTGACAGAGTGAGACCCTCACCTCAAAAAAATAAAAAGAAGCCGGGCTTGGTGACTCAGCCTATAATCCCGCGCCTTGGGAGGCTGAGGTGAGTGGATTGCCTGAACCCACGGGTTCAAGACCCGCCCGGGCAACTTGATGAGCCCTCATCTCTACAATAAATCAAAAAATTAGCCAGGTGTGGTAGTGCGCACTGTAGTCCCAGCTACTTGGAAGGCTGAGGTGGAAGGATCACCGGAGCCCAGCAGGTCGAGGCTGCGGTGGTCGGGAGCAGCCATTGCACTCCAGTCTGGGCGACAGAGTGAGACTCAAACTCAAAAAATAAAAAATAAAAATAAAAAAGAAAATACACACAGAACAAGGTCTGTTAAATGATAAGTGCTATTATATGAACTAAATGAGTTTACTGTTGTTTTTATCTCATGTATATCCATCTATTTTACTTTGTGTTAAATCTGTAGATACACACACTTATGTTTGTGTATATGTGTTTGTATGTATATGTTTTACTATTATTGATATGTATAGCTTTTCTACTATGGTAATCTATTCTACAGTTATATTTATACTTCCCCTGCCAGAGTATAGATTCTCCTATATTTTTTACAGACTTTGTTACATAATAAATTGGATATTTTCCTTACAGTTTTTATGTATATTAGGTAGAATGGTATAGGTAGAATACCATTAGGTAGCTACAGTTGGGCAAAATCATCTGACAACACAGTACACAGTAGAGTGTCAGTTGTCCACCCTGGCAATAGCATGACTGACAGGGAACCGCTGGTCAGGAAAAATATCCAAATTGTTTTCCTCAAAGATTTAGTTCATGTGATGCCCAGCATCACAAGGTCATATCACACTAGATGTTATTATCTTGGGAAAATATAAAAATTCTAGATTCGAAGTATGGTTTCTACTGAATGCACATCACTTTTGCACCATCATAAAATCAAGAGATCACAAGTTGAACCATCATAAGTCAGAGACCATCTGTATAACCTTTCTAAGACATAAGCTCCTTAAGATCATGAATTCTGTCTTGTTTATCACTGTATTCCCAGAGTGGAGCCTTGTACATAGATGTCAATAATATATATTGCATATATGTTTTCTATATTTTGTACACTATTTTATAGCTTGATGATATATAAGTATATGTAGTATATATATACCCTAGTATTACCCTCTTAGCTTATCTCCTAGTGTTTATTACCTACCATATATGCCCGACCTGTATTTTGCATATTGGCTACAAATATTATGAATATCTCTTGCTCTATAATATACAGAAGTTCTTGTTATATATCTCCTACTATGTAATTCTGACTACTTCTGCGTACTTTATTTATACGTGTATATCTCCTACTTTATATATCTCTTTTGATCCAGACTTTTAATCTAAGATTTTAACATCTACGTTTCCTAATTCCTTAAATGTTGTTAGAAAACATAACTTTCAATACTGTACTCTTATGTGGATATACTATTTAGCATTCCTCCTAATTGGCATATTTAATCTACATATATGGTGGTATGGGGTGTTTTTTTTCCTAATTCTGAATGTTACTGTGAGAACCATTCTTTTACGTGAATTTTTTTTTTTTTTTAGGTTAGTGACCTGGCAGTGAAAGTGTAGGAATCAAAAGTGTTATTCTCAATATTATACAAAAATATCCAAATTGTTTTCCTCAAAGATTTATGCAGTTTTCACTCATATCTGCTGAATATGAAAGTGCTCACTTCATGGAATCCTGACTAAAATTTTACATTAACTTTTTAAAACATCTTTATATTTAGATACATGAACCAAATAAGTTCTTTAGTTGTTTTAATTTGCAATTTTAAAATACATTTCTGAAGTTCTTTAATTTTTCTTTTCCTTCGCTCCCACCCCAGCAATAATATTTTACATTGTTGGTTTTTTTGAGTTGGAGTCTCACTCTGTCGCCCAGACTGGAGTGCAGTGGCCACTCCCGGCCACCGCAGCCGCAACCTGCTGGGCTCCGGTGATCCTTCCGCCTCAGCCTTCCAAGTAGCCGGAATTACAGGCATGTGCTACCACACCCGGCTGATTTTTTGATTTATTGTAGAGATGAGGTCTCGCTGCCCAGGCGGGTCTCGAACCCGCGGGCTCAGGCAATCCACTCACCTCAGCCTTCCAAAGGTGTGGGATTACAGGCTGAGCCACCGAGCCCGGTTTACATTGTTTTTAAGATACATTTCTCAAGCCTCCCACCTCTACATAGTCCCAGGCAAGCCTTACTTCTGTGTGTCAGTCTGCTTTCCTTATCTAACTATACAGGAGATACAGAAGATTGCTGTTTTAACTGTAAAGCAGCTATAGCAGATGCTGTTGAATGCACAGGCACTTTGGAGCCATGTTGACCATGATTTGAAGCCTAGCACTGTCACTGCTAGTATGTGTAACCTCCCACAACTTTGACTTTCTCCTCTGTACAAGGGAGGATAATAATATTGTGCTTGTTGGGCTACCTTGAAGATTAAATGGGACTTCTGGTAAAAGCATCTTGAACAATGAGTTATCTGGCTGTGTTTCCTCTGAAATTCACGTTAAACCCATCTGAATCTTTGTGGCTTATGTGTAGACCATAGTTTAACTTACATTACAGTTTTATTTTTATTTATTTATTTGTTTGTTTATTTATTTTAAGTTGAAGTCTCACTCTGTTGCCTGGGCTGGAATGCAGTGGCACGCTCATGGCTGCTGCAGCCTCGATCTGCTGGGCTTAGGCGATCCTTCCACCTCAGCCTTCCAAGCAACTGGAACTATAGGCATGCACCACCACACCCTGCTAATTTTCTGATTTACTGTAGAAATGAGGTCTCACCATGTTGCCCAGGCTGATCTCGAACCCTGGGCTCAGTCAGTCCTTTTCCTTCCACCTCCCAAAGTGCTGAGATGGTGTGAGCTATCGTGCCCAGCCATTACTATTTTAAATAATAAAGTTTTACATTAGTAGCTCCCATTCATTGTCTTTAAATAGTTTTTATTTTGTGTATGACTAGCTGAGATCAATTTTGCGGCAGTAAACAAAATTCACCAAGACAGTTGTGAATTAAGAAAGGTAGATTTTTTAAAGGCAGAGTACTTTGCAGGGGAGCAATGGGCAACACAGCCAAGGGGAGGCTGTCTGCTGTCTACAAAGAGGCAGAGGCTGGAGGAAAGTTTTATAGGACTGTGGAGAGCCGAGCAAAGGATCTGGAGTGGGAAGTGCATATGTGCTGTACGAGGTGTCTATACACAGTTGATTGATTGTGGTGATCTGTACCTCAAGATAGGGTTAATTTACAGCAATGGTTAACTGCTTTTTGCAACGTTTACAGTGGTCAGCTAAAGGTTAGTTTACAGTAATGATTTACAGCAACCAGCAAACTTTTATGACTCTAACTATGGTCAGTAAGTTCCATGTAAATTTCACCCTGAGGTTTCTTTCCTCAGTATAATTTACCCAACTGTTGATGGCCCATTCTACCTATAACATTAGACAGAACCACTTTCAGGCAGGTTAGATGGTAGATAATCCTTTTGTATGAGTGTGTGTGGTGGGGTGTGTTTGCATGCACTTACTTATCTGATTTAACTTACATTTAAGCTGATCATGTTTTATTTCCAAAAATGCTCTGCTCTGTTGTTCAATCTCAGTATATGTGGAACTGTTTAAGTAAAGCAAGTTTTGAGTGGGCAAGATAAATGAAGATACTAGGATTTGAAGTAGGGTCTTTGTTTTAAAATTATACTATTTGCTCAAATATTTTCCCCCTGATGCCTATTGGAATTTTTCTTTTAACTATTCCAGGCTTATGAGACATTGCTGTTTTCTTTCATAGAAATATTTAAATTTTTCCCTCTTAGTATGTCTGCTGCTAGTAGAGTAGCATAACTTCAAAATATTATTTGGTCCAGAAATTAGCTTTTGTGGAGGATTCACTTATAATAATATTATTTAAACCTAGTAGTTAGCAAAAAATTTTTTTGCTTGAGTTTGTATGGCCTCTTTCTTCATTTTGTTATTGAAAACTTAGAAATTAATTAGTGAATGTTTACATTCTACACTGCTGCTGAGTATTTCTTTCTGTTAATATGTTGTATTTCATTTTTTCAGAACACTGGAATTCTTGATGAGACACTTGTCTCTTCTAGCTGACTATTGTTCCATCACAAATATGCATGCAAAAAACCTAGCCATTGTTTGGGCTCCAAACCTGTTAAGGTAATTTGTGTTTGACTTATGACCTTTTGTAGAATTAATCATCTTAAATAAAATTCTAATTCATCATTGTTTCTTAAGGAAGATCCTAAAAGGTAAAACAACTCTGTTCTTTTTATTAGCATCTCCCTGAAACAGAAAACTGGGGCTTAGCTAAGGGACTATGAAAGTATGATTTCTTCCTCTGGTTTATCTGTGATTTACACATTTTTTTAAAAAGTCCTTTATGACTGCTATCTTGGTGACTCTCTGATGGAAATGTTTACCTCACAGATCAAAGCAGATAGAGTCTGCCTGCTTCAGTGGAACTGCAGCTTTCATGGAAGTGCGAATTCAATCTGTGGTTGTTGAATTCATCCTCAATCACGTTGATGTGCTCTTCAGTGGCAAAATCAGCGTGGTCATGCAAGAAGGGGCAGGTGAGGCTCAGATGGGTTTTGTTTACTACCGGGAACGGTATCCAAACTTCTAAAGGAATGGAAAAGTATGTATTTCTTATATCAATTTTTAAAACATCATAGTATAAAGCAACTAATTTACATCTGTTTTCCAAAATGCACAATTTGACAGTTATTTTGTATGTCTATAGTGAATACTACATATTAGACTTGTGATGTAAGTTCATGACACGTTCTTTAAAAATCTTGTCACCTATTATTAATGTACAGAAATGTATGATACAGAACAGAATAAAAATTACTTTCAAAACTGACTTAGTGATCACCTTTCCTGGTACCTCTTAAGAAAGGAAAATAGTTAAAATTGTTAAAGAATTTAAGTACATTTATGCCACAGTTAGCAACCTAGGATATCACCTTCTATTTCTCATTTAATTTAAAGCATTGTAATTTTTGCCATTTAAAATGCTTGAAATTTTTTTGATAAAACACAGGTAGATGCCGGGCTCAGTGGCTCAGCCTGTAATCCCGCGCTTTGGGAGGCTGAGGTGAGTGGATTGCCTGAGCCCGCGGGTTCGAGACCCGCCTGGGCAACTTGGCGAGACCTCATCTCTACAGTAAATCAAAAAACTAGCCGGTCGTGGTAGCACGCACCTGCAGTTCCAGCTCCTTGGAAGGCTGAGGCGGAAGGATCGCCGGCCCAACAGGTTGAGACTGCGGTGGCCGGGAGCGGCCACTGCACTCCAGTCTGGGTGACAGAGTGAGACTCCAACTCAAAAAAAAAAAAAAAAAAACCACAGGTAGATAGATGCATAAACAGATAAGCAGGTTGATTTGCACTCACACATAGTTGACTCTCTTCATTGCTTTCCTTTTCCTTTTGAAGCTTCTTTATCGAGACCCAAGTCTTTGCTGGTATCCTCCCCATCCACCAAGCTGCTGACATTGGAGGAAGCCCAAGCACGAACACAAGCTCAGGTCAATTCTCCAATTGTGACTGAAAATAAATATATTGAAGTAGGAGAAGGACCTGCTGCACTTCAGGGAAAATTTCATACCATAATTGAGTTTCCTCTTGAAAGGTACAATTCATCAAATCCTGTTTTAAAGTATGATCCTCACAGCTTTAATTATTGTTTTCTTTTAGTTTGTTTTTAATTTTGTGTTTTAGTATTATAAGTTCTGTATCAGTCCCTATTTATTTGCATATGAATGATACTTAACACTACAAATGATTCTTGCAAAGTATTACAACATGCAATTTTTAAAAATGAGAAAGTCAATTATACAGGGAACATTGTTCAGAAAAAAATGATATACTTTCACTATATAGAGTTGATTTTTCTGTCTGATATATTTCATTTAGAAATTTGTTTAGAAATAAACTATACTGAAACAGCTTATTCAATAAGTAATGAATGGGCAGTGACTTGTTTGGCCTTGGTTTCACATTAAGGTTAGAATAGATGAGTAGTTTTCAAAGTGTGGTCTCCCAACCGGCAGTATCCCCTGGTAATTGTTAGAAATGCAAGTTATCCAGTCCCACACTAGACCCACCGAATCAGAAACTCTGGGGCTGAGACCCAGCAAACTCTCAAACTTGCCAGGTGATTCTGATTTCTGCTAAAATTTGAGAACCACTGTAGTTTGTTCTCTCAATGTCCCTTCCAGCTCTGAGATTCTCTGTTTCTCTAAAGAAATGATAATAACATGGTTTCTGTATCTTCTTTACTAGGTTATAGTAGGAAGACTAATGTATATAAAAGTTATTTTTGATGTCTCTGCTACTCCTTTGGCTATTACACATGAATGTAAGGATTTTGATTCTCTGGATTGGATAGTACTAATAAAACTTTAGAATTTGTTCTTTCCATATTAGTATACTCCTCTAACTTCCTTTCACTTCCCATGACTAAAAATGTCCTGTCAGCAAAAAGTTGGAACCTAGCTTCTTTTATTTTGTTGTTCTGAGTTTGTCTTAAGCATTGTGGTTTTATCTTTTAGCCCCATAATTTACTCAAAAATTTGTTTATTAGAATAGTGGTTAAGAGCGTAAATATTGGGGTGTAGATAGACCTGGGTTTTAATCCCGTCTCTATCATTTACTAGTTTTACAATATTAAGGGAGTTATTTGAATTTCTTAGTATCTTAATATCCTCAACTGTAAAATGAGAATAATAGTACCTGCCTCATGTGATTAAATCTGATTTAAAAGAGATACTATATATAAGGCAGCCATCTCAGTGCCTGGTATTCATTATATGTTAGTTACTCTTCTTAATACTTTTTCATCTTTATTCTCTATACTGACACCTAAAATCATTTTCTTTAACTCTATTATTTTTGAAGACTTAATATTTCCTATCCCCAGATGTGTCTTATTTTCACTTATTTTGCAGATTGTGAGGTTGGATCTAAATATGAAGATGCGTATAAAAACAGTCTTTGTGAAAATAGCTACTAATATTAAAGTTTGCATGTTTAATTTCCATTTTGTGCTTTAGCTGCACTCTGTAGAGTCTGCTGTATGGAAGGTGGATGTTTGTTTACTGTTTCACCTGTGCCTGTCCAGGCTGTTTGGCTCTTTCTATCATTCGTTCATTTCTTTTTCGATAAGAAAAGATAGACCCTTGACTATCTTAATGCTGATTAATTATTTTCTCCCTCATAGAAAGAGGCCTCAAAATAAGATGAAAAAATCCCCTGTGGGCAGCTGGCGTTCCTTTTTCAACTTGGGGAAATCATCATCTGTTTCTAAACGAAAGTTGCAGCGTAACGAGAGTGAGCCTTCAGAGATGAAAGCCATGGCTCTGAAAGGTGAGTGCCTCCACTGTCCTGGCCCTGCCGCTAGCAAAGCTGTCTGCACAGTAGATTCCCATTTCTGGTACTGTTGTGATGGTCTTTTGTTACTGTGGGCACGTACTTCATATATTGTTATAATATGCTTAATGTATTATGGAGCGTCTTCTTTTACCAATTCTTTTTTTTTTTGAGTTGGAGTCTCACTCTGTCGCCCAGACTGGAGTGCAGTGGCCGCTCCCGGCCACCGCAACCTCGACCTGCTGGGCTCTGGCGATCCTTCCGCCTCAGCCTTCCAAGTAGCCGGAATTACAGGCGTGTGCTACCACGCCCAGCTGATTTTTTGATTTATTGTAGAGATGAGGTCTCGCTGCCCAGGCGGGTCTCGAACCCGCGGGCTCGGGCAATCCACTCACCTCAGCCTCCCAAAGGCGCGGGATTACAGGCTGAGCCACCGAGCCTGGCTTTTTACCAATTCTTTATCCTCAACTAACAAAGTAACAAAAGTTAAGTACAAATATGTAAAAGCACCCATTTTCTTTTTTTTTTTGAGTTGTAGTTTCACTCCGTCGCCCAGACTGGAGTGCCGTGGCCACTCCCGGCCACCGCCGCCTCGACCCACTGGGCTCCGGCAATCCTTCTGCCTCAGCCTTCCGAGTAGCCGGAATTACAGGCACGCGCTACCACGCCTGGCTCATTTTCATTTATTGTAGAGATGAGGTCTCGCCAAGTTGCCCAGGTGGGTCTCGAACCCGCGGGCTCAGGCAATCCACTCACCTCAGCCTCCCAAAAGCGCGGGATTACAGGCTGAGCTACCGAGCCCGTCTAGTACCCAATTTCTTAAGGAAACTACACAGATTATATATAGTGTGAACATGATTAAAATTCACAATGTATTTGTAACATAGCTTGTATATTGTTGGTAATAAATACTGCTGTGGTACTTAAATGTATTCATCTATATTCTTACAGATTTGAAAAATGACAAAACCATGTTTTAGCATGCCATTCAAATTCGTAATTCTTATAACCAAAGAAGCTATTTTTTTTATTAGGGTCTCATTGATACAGTATCTTATTGGATCAAATAAATCTATTACTGTTGGGTTTTTGGTTTTTTGGGGTTTTTTTCAGTTGGAGTCTCACTCTGTCACCCAGACTGGAGTGCAGTGGCCATTCCTGGCCACCGCCACAGCCTTGACCTGCTGGGCTCCGGCGATCCTTCCGCCTCAGCCTTCTAAGGAGCTGGAACTACAGGCGCGTGCTCCCACGCCCGGCTAATTTTCTGATTTATTGTAGAGATGAGGTCTCGCCAAGTTGCCCGGGCAGGTCTCGAACCCGCGGGCTCAGACAATCCACTTGCCTCAGCCTCCCAAAGCGTAGGATTACAGGCTGAGCCACTGAACCCGGCTGAAAAAAGCTACTCTTTTAAAAAATAGTTTAAAACCCATGTCTTATTAATATTAGCAGCTTGTGAATCTAAGACGGGTAGTACTTTCTTCTTAGGTAATGTCAGAAGTATAATGTACAATTCATTTAATTAATCATTCATTTCAATTTGGAATCCTGTACAAGGCATGTGTGAGAAATTTTGTTAGTGGTTTCTGTGGATAGGAAGAAAAATGAAGATCGTGTCCCTGCCTTCTGAGTCTAATTGGGAAGTCATATGTATTGGAAAATGAATTTTGGTGCAGAATCATAGCTATTAAAATAGAGGTTTATGTAAGGTGTTTATGGTAGCAATTGTCAGCTCTTGTAGAGGAGGGGCTGGTGGTCAGAAAATGTAATCTTTGACTTGAGTTTTGAAGGATAAGTAGGAATTCACCTTGTCAACAAGGGTCTAGGAATGGTATTTCAGGAGATGGAGCAGAGTGAGAATAGAAGTGGTTGGGTGCTGAATTCTGGAGAAAAACAATGTTTAAAAAACTGGAAAGGGAAAAAAAATTTAAAAAAAAAATAAAGGGCTGGAAAAGGAAGAATTGTCTTGAGGGGAGAGAAAGTAGAAATGATTTGAAAGATAGGCAAAGAACAAGAGATAGATGCTCTCCTTAGCAGGGGAGGAAGGGCTTATAAAAGGAATTGTAAGCAGTGCTGCCAAGGGGTGAAAGAGAATGATGATAGTTGTTAGCAAATAAGATTTGACATGAATAAGTAAATTATCTGTATTAGTATCTCAGCATCCCATACAAATTACCACAAGTCAAGTTGTCAAAAAAACAACAGAAACTTATTTTCTCACAGTTTTGGTGCCTCAGAGTCTGAAATCCAAGTTATCAACAGAGCTGTGCTTCTTCCAAAGTCTCCAGGGAAGGGTCCTTCCCTGACTCTTCCAGCTCTTGGAAGCCTCTGGAGTTCCTTGGTTTGTGGCAGCATCACGCAGTCTCTGCCTCCATCTTCATGTGGTCTTCTCCTCTGTGTCTCTGTCTTCTCCGCTTGTAGAAACACCAGTCATTGGATTTAGGGCCCACTCTGAGTCCAGTATGGTATTATCTCAAGATAACATATCCGTCTTTAGGAAATATAAAAGACATTTTAAAATTAATCTCTGTGCTCAAGTTTATAATCCTTCTTTTTCTTTTTATAATGCTTTATAAAGGGATTTTTCACATCAGAAACCATTTGAGAACAATATAATATATTACATAATAAAGTATTAAATTGCTACCAAAATGTACCACTAACCAATCACTCTTTTAAGTTTAAATGTGTCAGGAAAAACACCGATCCCTTTATATATGTAGCAAATAATAAAGCTTTACACTATTTGGTTTTCATTCTTCAGGTGGCAGAGCAGAAGGAACCCTCCGCTCAGCTAAAAGTGAAGAGTCTCTTACATCTCTCCATGCAGTTGATGGTAAGATTAAAAGCATTAGTCATTTTATTCCCTAATACCTTGCATAAAAGAACACGTAATTGAGTATATTTTATAAATATGTGCTTAATAAATGGCTATCAGCCATCATTTCCTAAGAATGCTAATATTAATTTAGTATTATTCGGATTAAAATTAATTGATGTTTAATATGTAGCAGTCTTTAATCTTTTCATTTTTGGCATGATTGCTATTCAATTTACATTAAAATAGCTGAAATGTTTTAAGTTAACTCTGTGTTATGTATTAATGCCTAATGAAAAGTTGTGCTATTGCTATTTCCTTCTTTAGATTTTACGAGAGCATAATTTTACAAAGTATAAAATTAAACTGTTTTGATACTCAGACCAGTAATCTTTTGTCTTGCCAAACAGCTTAACCTGACCTTAAATTCTGTAGATCAGATTGATTATAGATAGACCTCATTATCCAAGGATAATTAGTACCTGAAGAAGACAACTTAAAGTTAATCTGCTTAAAATAGGGACTAAAATTTCATGGTAAATAGTGAAAAAAAGTTTGATAACAATATAACTTGAAAACCAAAACTAAAAATTATGCAAATAAGTTTGTTTTATCTTTTACTTAGCAAAGGTTGGATTATAGCTGCACTACATACTGATTTTTAAAACAAAGAATTTCTTCAATGCTGATTTGGAAGAAGATATTTTTTTTTTTTTACAAAACTATGTAATAGCACAATAGAACATCCTTCATGTATTTGAACTTTGTCTTATGCAGCAGGATTATAAAGAAGATCTTTTTGCAGAGCTAATGAAGACTACATTGATTTCCCAAGGGCTTTTTAAAATCTGGTGATATTCAAATCACATCATTCTGAAGTATATTAAGATTTCATTGTCTTGGTCAATTTTCTCATATTAATTTATTAGCTCTTCTAACTGCCAGATCCTCATTAAACTATTGCTTGTGATTCAAGAAGTTCTCCCACATCACTTTATCTGAGTGACTGACATATGAATTTTCCAAGACTTTCAATTAAACTATAGTCGAGATAATCTAAAAAAGCAATGCAGTGGGCTGGGTAGATTCTAGTGTTGAGCAGAAAATATTTGATTAGGGATTAATTTTATAGGTGTTCATACATTAGTAAATATATTTATATTAATATAGTTTCTTCCTCTTTAAATTTATTTTTTACTATGGCAATTATAATTTTAACAGAACAGAGAATTTGAATTTTACCAGTTGGATATTTAGCAACATCCCAAAATTATAAGTAATACTCTTCACTACTTTTAAGTACTCCACTTAAGAAACATAAAGCATATTTTTCTTAAATAAAAAAATGAAATTCTTGTTAAGTATCTGAAAAACATTCTTTACTAAATATATGTAAATACTTTATAGGATTGTGAATTTTTTTTAATTGAGAAACTCAATTTTTTTAGAAGTTTGGGTATTATAAGGATATTTCCCCACAAAACAACAACAACAAAAAACCACCTTTTGGTTATTATGGATCTAAAGTGTAGCTTAAAGTGATTAATTCAACCTCATAAGTCATATGTGGGTGAGTGATAAAATAAGAAACAAAGAAATGAAAAACGTGCCCAAAGTTGTACCAAGAGTCAATGTCGGCTTAGTAAGAGATTCCAAGAGCTCTGAGTCCTTTTTCCTATCCAGATCATGAAATGACTACATTCTCCCTCTGATAATATCAAATGTGTGTGTGATTTATCATTTGGCTTGGTAATTCTGTTATTTCAAGCTTAAACAATCTGTGTGCACTGAGAGACAATTTCTAGAAAGAAAATAAGTAAGCCAGGTGTGGTGGCTCATGTCTGTAATCCCAGCACTTTAGCTGAGGTGAGAGGATCGCTTGAGCCCAGGAGTTTGAGACTAGCCTAGACAACATAGTGAGACCTGTCTCTACAAAAAATTAACCAGGCATGGCTAATAGTTACAGGTACTTGGGAGGCTGAGGCAGAAGGATCACCTGAGCCCAGAAGATCAAGGCTGCAGTGATTTTGCCACTACATGCCAGCCTGGGTGACAGAAACCCTGATTCAAAAACCAAAAAAAAAAAAAAAAAAAGAATAAGAAGAAAATGAGAACTAGCATTTTCTTACCCTATATCATAAGTTACTGCTGTACTAAGTAGGTGATTTACCATCATATTGTGTATCCTTTGATTTTCGTACCTTGACATTGTTATTTATTTTTGCCAGGTGATACCAAACTCTTCCGACCCAGAAGACCCAGATCTAGCAGTGATGCACTGTCTGCTTCTTTTAATGGAGAAATGCTGGGGAACCGTTGTAATTCCTATGATAATCTGCCGCATGACAATGAAAGTGAGGAGGAAGTCGGGCTGCTCCATATTCCAGCCCTAATGTCTCCTCATTCAGCTGAGGATGTTGACTTGAGCCCACCAGACATTGGAGTAGCCAGCCTGGATTTTGATCCAATGTCATTTCAATGTAGTCCTCCTAAGGCTGAATCAGAATGTCTGGAGAGTGGTGCTTCCTTTCTAGATTCATTAGGATACTCCAAGGATAAATCAAGTGCCAATAAAAAGGATGTAGAAGTGGGTGGTAGTCAGTCTCAGACTCCAGGAAGCACTGCAAGTTCTGAACCTGTCTCTCCTCTTCAGGAGAAGCTGAGTCCATTCTTTACCCTGGACTTGAGCCCAACTGAAGAGAAATCATCTAAGCCATCCTCATTTACTGAAAAGGTCGTCTATGCTTTCTCTCCGAAGATAGGACGGAAATTAAGCAAATCGCCTTCTATGAACATATCTGAGCCAATTTCAGTGACCCTTCCACCTCGAGTGTCAGAAGTCATCGGTACAGTCTCAAATACTACCGCTCAGAATGCATCATCTCCAACCTGGGACAAAAGCATTGAAGAAAGGGATGTCACAAATAGATCCCCCACCCAGATAGTAAAGATGAAAACAAATGAGAGAGAGGCCCAAGAAGGATGTGAATCTGAAGTCCAGCCCCTGGACCAGGGGGCTGCTGAAGAAGTAGAATTGCCAGGGAAAGAGGAGCAGTCTGTCTCAAGCAGTCAGAGTAAGGCTGTAGCTTCTGGACAGACTCAGACAGGTACCGTTTGTTTTCCTCCATTCTTTCTTTAAGTTAAGAGGGATCTTCAATCCTGTGTGCCATCTGTGCCTTTTAAGAGAAAAATATGCTCCACAGCTAGCCTTTAATCAAAGAGAATGCTTTTCTGGGTGGTGCTGATGGCTCAAAGCCCTGAATTAAAATCAATCAAACAAAACTCCCCAAAAGAGCTAGTGGCCCTGCTTCAGACCTTCACAAAAGTCCCCTTATCTCTTTGGACAGTGAGAATTCGTGGATAATTTTTACACAACTGCGTAGCTCTTAGTTCTGTTTTCTCTTCTAATAAAATATCTTTATTGTAGCCTTACAAATTAACAAGCCAGCCTACACCATCAAATGTAAATAAAAACTGTTTGTAATAACAATCTGCAAGCACTTGAAGCTTGTTTTCTAAACAATCTTTTCTGAGCCAGGTGAGGGACCTGCTTTTTTTTCCTTCCCATCTCTGTAGCAATTCAAGAGGAGATTGCAGTCTTTAAACATTCTTTGTTTTAGTTTTCCTTCTGAACCAGATGTGTTTTCTACAGCATTTGCATGTGGGATAGAAGATCATGGATTGCCATTTTGAAATATGGAAGGCACCTATTTTTTAATGATCAAATGGGGAGTGTTTGGCTTTCCATTTATGATAACATAAGCTACTTTTTCACTCTCATTTTTTTTCCCAATTTCCCACTAGGAGCAGTTGCCCATGACCCCCCTCAGGATTCCGTTCCTGTCAGTTCAGTCTCTCTTATCCCACCACCACCGCCTCCGAAAAATGTTGCCCGAATGTTGGCGCTAGCATTAGCTGAGTCTGCACAGCAAGCTTCAACCCAGTCTTTGAAGAGACCAGGGACTTCTCAGACTGGTTATACAAATTATGGAGACATAGCCGTGGCTACAACCGAAGATAAACTGCCCAGTTCTTACTCTGCTGTTGCTCTAGATAAGGCCTATTTCCAAACGGATCGACCAGCAGAGCAGTTTCACCTCCAGAATAATGCACCAGGAAACTGTGACCAGCCTCTGCCAGAGACAACAGCTATTGGAGATCCTATCCATTCCAACACAACTGAATCTGGGGATCAACACCGCCAAGTAGACATGCCAGGGAATCAACCACATCGAACCTATTTATCTGGGGACCCAGAAAAGACCAGAATTACTGCAGTTCCCTTAGCAGACTCAGAAAAATCTGATGATCATGTAAGTTTCCCTGAAGACCAGTCTGGGAAGAACAGTATGCCGAACGTCTCCTTTGTGGATCTGGACCAGTCTCCACTCCATTTCCACAGTGGAGATCAGCTTCCTTCTTATCTTGGTGCAAGTGTGGATAAGCCTCATCACCCTTCAGAACTTGCAGATAAATCTCTCACACTTAATTTGCATAGGGACAAAATTTACCCTCCTTCTGGATCCATTGCAGACAAATCTCCCACACCTTCTAATTTTCCTAGAGACAATACCTATCCTCCTTCTGGGTCCCCTGAAGAGAATACCAGCATAGCCACTATGACTTACATAACAGCTACTCCAGCAACAACTGAAATGAGCACCAAGGAAGTCAACTGGGACGTGGCTGAACTACCCGCTGCTGCTGACTTTGCTGTTGCCACCCTTCAGCGCACACATAGAACTAATCGTCCCCTTCCCCCACCTCCTTCCCAGAGATCAGCAGAACAGCCGCCAGTTGTGGGGCAGGTGCAAGTAGCAGCCAGTATAGGATTAAATAATTCTCACAAGGTAAGAAGGGGAAGAAGTCATTGAGTTGTAATAGTCTTTGTCCAAAGGTGTGTCAGTTTTCAACAGGTTGTGTTGTTATCTTTGAGTCAGATATGATATTTACTTTTAAGCACTGTGGCAACCTTCCATAAAATAGTTTCCATTTGAGATCAGAACCTGCCTTATCTTGTTGCTAATTTTTCTCTGAGAAAGGAGCAGTTACTAGATGACTATAGTTTAACTATATCTGCTACCTTTTGTTTCTAATGGATCTAAGTAGTTTCTTCACAGTAACACAAAGAGATAATGATCAAATGAGACAAAGTGGGCTTCAGGTATCAGTTGCGAGTTTTAATTTTTTTTTTTCCATCACTGACTCATTTTGATTTGGGGGCAAGTCATTTACCCACCTTCTGCCACTTTTTCATACTACGCAAAGAAGATTCTTCACTATCAAGATATTTGTGAGACACTCTGTCTTGCAGTCTTTTTAGAAATATAAGAATTATAGTGCCTTATAATTTTATTATTTTTCTGGCATTAACTGGCAGTTTGTTCCATAGTCAAGCACTTGATATGATAAGAGAATATAGTATACAAATGCTAAGATTTCTTCCTAATTTTTTTCATTTTTAAATAAAGTACCAGCCAGTCGTGATAGCTCACAGCTATAATACTAGGACTTTGGGAGGTCAAGGTGGGACAATTGCTTGATCCCTGGAGTTTGAGACAGCCTGGGCAACATAGTGAGACGCCATCTCTATTTTAAATAAATAAATAAATAAATAAATTTTTTTTTTAAGTGCTGCAGGATTTTTTTGTGGTCACCTTAAACTAAAAGGATTTAAGATTCTAGTCCTAGCCGGACTTGGTGGCTCAACCTGTAATCCCAGCACTTTGGGAGGCTGAGGTAAGTGGATTGCCTGAGCAGTTGAGACCAGCCCGGACAACTTGGCAAGACCTCGTCTCTACAATAAATCAAAAATTACCTGGGCGTAGTAGCGCACACCTGTAGTTCTAGCTACTTGGAAGGCTGAGGCGGAAGGATGGCCAGAGCCCAGCAGGTCGACGCTGGGGTGGCCATGAGCATGCCACTGCACTCCAGTCTGGGCTATGAAGTGTGAGACTCCAACTCAAAAAACAAAAAACAAAAATCAATAGCAATAATAAAAATAGATTGTAGTCCTTAGTGGAAGATGCTATATCTTAGCAACTACTTATCAAGGATAGCATGTTTGCAGTATTGCTGTGAGGATCATATTTGACCTTCAACTTCACAGACTGAGGCGCAATAAAAGATAGGGAGGGACAGTAACCTCTGACTTGAATATTGTCCTTCCCTATATTTGAGGGCTTAAAACTACACACTGTGTGCAACTGTGAGTCTTTAAAACTTTCTCCAGATATTAGAATCAACTTTTTAAATTTAATGAAATATTCTTGGTGTTGAGACTGAGCTAGACTGATTAACTGGATGTGTATTTTTAAGCTTGGCAGATTTATTTGACTAAATCTCTGTTTTGGTCTAAACATGAGGTAATGCCATAGGCTGACTGTGGTGGTGCATGCCTGTAATACCAGCACTTTGGGAGACCGAGGGCGGAGGATGGCTTGAGCCCAGGAGTTCAAGACTCATCTCTACAAAAAAGAAATTTAAAAATTGGTGGTGCAACACCTGTGTAGTCTCAGCTACTTAGGAGGCTGAGGCAGAAGGATCACCTAAGCCCAGGAGGTCAAGGCTACAGTGAGCTGTGATCATGCCACTGTACTCCAACCTGGGTGACAGAGCAAAATCTCAACTAAAAAAGAAAAAAATGATAAGACCATAGGCAACTTCGTTTCACATTTAAAACCTATCATAAATTAGAAAACATTGAACAATTCTCTAAAGATCGTAGTGGCTATTGTACTGAATAGCAGCTTAGACCTTCTTTTCCTGGCAATGGAAATAGGTCCACTGTGATTACATGGCTTAGAAAAGTTCAAGCTACTATTCATATATCCTGAACTTGTGTGTTACAAATTTAACAGTATTTGATTTAATTGAGGGAATACAAAAAAATATACTCATCAATATTATTGTCTTTCAATAGATTCAAGGAATAGTTCCAGCTCCAGAGAGGCCACCTGAACCTCGAGCCATGGATGACCCTGCATCTGTCTTTGTCAATGAAGGTGGTACAGCTGCTCAGTGTCCCATGGCTCCTGCTCTCCAGCCAGGCCTGCCTGAGAAAGTACGGGATGGTGCCCGGGCCCCACTACTGCACCTGCGTGCTGAGTCTGTCCCTGTGCACTCCTGTGGCTTCCCTGCACCAATGCCCCCCACCAGGACGATGGAGAGCAAGATCGCTGCTGCCATACACTCCAGCAGTGCGGATGCCACCAGCAGTTCAAATTATCATTCCTTTGTCACTGCTTCATCTGCCTCTGTGGACAATGTGTTGCCTTTACCACTTCCTATCCCACAACCCAAGCATACTTCTCAGAAAACAGTTTACCCATCTTTTGCTAGGCCTGATGTCACCACTGAGCCCTATGGGCCAGAAAACTGTTTGCATTTCAGTATGACTCCAAACTGCCAGTACCGTCCCCAGAGTGTTCCTCTACATCACAATAAATTGGAGCAACACCAAGTGTTTGGTGCCAGGTCAGAGCCACCAGCCTCCATGGGTCCTCGTTATAACACATATGTAGCCCCAGGAAGAAGTATGTCTGGACACCACTCCAAGCCATGCAGCCGGATCGAATATGTATCTTCTTTGAGCTCCTCTGTTAGGAGTACTTGTTACCCTGAAGATATGCCACCATACCCTACCATCCGGAGGGTACAGTCTCTCCATGCCCCACCATCTTCCATGATTCGCTCTGTTCCCATTTCACGGACAGAAGTTCCCCCAGATGATGAACCAGCCTACTGCCCAAGACCTCTGTACCAATATAAGCCATATCAATCCTCCCAGGCCCGCTCAGATTATCATGTAACTCAGCTTCAGCCTTACTTTGAGAATGGACGGGTCCACTACCGGTATAGCCCATATTCCAGTTCTTCTAGTTCCTATTACAGTCCAGATGGGGCCCTGTGTGATGTGGATGCCTACGGCACAGTCCAGTTGAGACCCCTTCATCGCCTACCCCATCGCGATTTTGCTTTCTATAATCCTAGGTTGCAAGGAAAGAACTTGTACAGTTATGCCGGTTTGCCTCCACGTCCCCGGGCCAACATGACTGGCTATTTCTCCGGTAATGACCATAATGTAGTCAACATGCCTCCAACTGCTGATGTAAAGCACACCTATGCCTCATGGGATCTTGAGGACATGGAAAAGTACCGCATGCAATCTATCCGCAGAGAGAGCCGTGCTCGGCAGAAGGTGAAAGGGCCTGTTATGTCCCAGTATGATAATATGACCCCAGCTGTTCAAGACGACTTGGGGGGGATCTATGTCATCCATTTGCGTAGTAAATCAGATCCTGGGAAAACTGGACTTCTCTCAGTGGCAGAGGGAAAGGAAGGCCGACACCCAGCAAAGGCCATCAGTCCTGAGGGAGATGACCGCTTCTATAGGAAGCATCCCGAGCCAGAGTTGGAGAGAGCACACCACCATGGAGGATATGGCAATACTCACTCAGAGAAACCATCCCTCCCTCAGAAGCAGAGCAGCCTGAGGAACAGAAAGCTTCATGACATGGGATGTAGTCTTCCTGAGCACAGGGCACACCAGGAAGCAAGCCATAGGCAACTATGTGAGTCAAAAAATGGGCCACCTTTCCCCCAGGGAGCTAGCCAATTAGATTATGGGTCCAAAGGGATTCCAGATACTTCTGAGCCAGTTAGCTACCATAACTCTGGAATGAAATATGCTACATCAGGGCAGGAATCTTTGAGACTGAACCACAAAGAGGTGAGGCTCCCCAAAGAGCTAGAGCGGCCTTGGGCTAGGCAGCCTCCTGCCCCAGAGAAACACTCCAGAGACTGCTACAAGGAGGAAGAACACCTCACTCAGTCAATGGTCCCACCCCCTAAACCAGAGAGGAGTCATAGCCTAAAACTCCATCATTCCCAGAACGTGGACAGGGACCCCAGTATGCTGTACCAATACCAACCACACGGCAAGCGTCAGAGCAGTATAACTGTTGTGTCCCAGTATGATAACCTGGAAGATTACCACTCCCTGCCTCAGCATCAGCGAGGAGTCTTTGGAGGGGGAGGTATGGGGTCGTATGTGCCCCCCAGCTTTTCCCATCCACAAAGCAGGACATATGCTACAGCTTTGGGTCAAGGGGCCTTCCTGCCCACAGAGTTGGCCTTGCAGCATCCTGAAACACAGATCCATGCAGAATGAGCCCTGGGAGCAATAGAGTTGAAGCAGCCTCTGCTGGACAGTGGACTGTTCTATTTTTTTTCAATAACCAAAAAGATTAAAACACAAACAAAGCTATAAAACCCCTGACCACATTAAAAAAACAAAAGCAGAATAAAGGTAAACAATCACCTTTTTTCCCCTTCCCTGCTTCATTACCACCTCTTCCATCTATAGACTGTGTCATTTTTGTCTTAAAAAAAGGTCTGAATGATGGTAAGCACTGTGTTGAAACCTAGTAAAGAAATTTGTCACAGACCGTACTTGCCATATAGGGCTAATCTGTAAGAGCCTGAGGACTGCCTTTAACTAAATTTGAGTTTAACTTTGTCCTTTCTTCTTAGTATTTGCGACATAATTCAGAGCAGTTCCCATCTATTTCCTTGGCTTTTGCATTCACTGTTGTGTTCCTGTTTCTTCAGTAGTTGTACAACTTGCCCAGATAGGCACTCTATTCTCACTTTGTTCTCCCTGTCTGAGAAGGGTTTTGTGTTCAATTAGCACGGAGGAAAAAACCTCCCTGACCCTTCGAGATAAGTCAGTCAGACAATTAGCAACATTATAATTACAAATAAGGAATTATGACTTTAAATTAAGCATTTAATAGTGTCATAAAATGTCGGACCATTTAGACTCAAGCCAAACCATACTCTTTACATTCTTATTTTTCATCCTTGTTCCTCACAGTTCAATCAACAGGCTCCTATCACTGCAGAAAGGATTTTGTTAAAGTTAGAATTTAAGGAAACTTCTTTGGTGGAAGGAAGTATAAAATTCTTACTATCATTGAATTTTGTCAGCACCAGAAAACTTTATCAGTGCTTTTAATGTGTCGTCTGCCTTCAAGTTTTCTTCCTCTCAAATAATATTTGGTAAATTGCAGTTCTAGTAAGACATGTCATACCATTTGTTTTCCTAAATTAGCTGCTTTTTTCATTAAAGAAAGCCAGCATGGTTTGACAGAATAAATACATAATTTATTACTAATGTACATTTACATGTTTCTGTTTTTAAACTAGAGTACAGGTTCCCTGGGAATTAGTGGCTACTAATTATCTGTTAGTAAACTGAAAGTTTCTGCAATACCCACTTAGTACACAGCCTCATTTCACTGGTTATCATTTCCGTCCTAAGGCATTGCATGTCTTTTGCTTACTCTGTACTTGTGTGGTCACAGTCTTACTGTAATTGCCATCTACACCAGCATTTCAGATATAGCTCTTTAGAACTCTGTAGACATGGTATACATGTTTAACACCCAGGACTTTTTAAAGTTGCATTCCTTATTAGAGGAGGAAAACTCTAGCTCAACTCCATTCTGTTTTCTCAGCCCACTCCCCACAGTGCATCCAAGAAGCAAGGCAGTCCTGTGTTTACAAAATGAGTTTAGATTGTCACTTCATTCCACAACTCTTAATAATATTCAAGTTTTATACATTCACATATTTTAAATGTTCCGATATAGGAGAATTTCATTCCATTTACTAGATGGTTTCTGCTCTGGCTTTTTAGAACTTGGAATTTTTATTTAGAGCAAAGGAGGAAATATTTTTAAAAGGCTAAAATCATGCTGCTATTATTGCTGTGAAATTGTATAAAGATTAGGATTCATGCCAATTTTTTAATTTAAAACAATCATGAGATTGCATTTTAAGGGTTTATATTTAGAAAAATAAAATGTGTTAAGAACACATTTATAAGTGGAAATACTCTATAAGGTTTTCTTGTTCCCCAAGAATTGATCAGAGGGATGCAGTAAAGACCATAGTAGGAGTCTTGAAGCACCAATATGTAAAATGTCTGTGGAAGCTTAGGCTCCTACATTAAAAGTACCAACCCAACTGGTATATAGTCAAAGTATTAGAAAACCTGATAGGATACCTCCATTTGGCACAAAAACACACTGGGTGCTACATACAGGAGTTTGATCTCTGGTGACTATGCAGCACTAATTTTTTTTTTTACCTTAACCATCTTTTATGTCAAGTAGGCAATCCATTGCCCCTTGGAGGCCACACTAGCCCTGTAGGTTCTCACCAGCAGCATGGAGGTTAGGAGGAGGGGCTGGTGTGACCAGGAGATAAACATGACGTTCGTACCTGAGAGCTCAAAGCAAGTGGTGCAAGAAGTTTTCCAGTTTTAATATTTGTGGATTTGTTGTCACACACATTGTTTCGTCTGAAACTATAGTTTGTTTTATAAATATGAAGACTGATGCCTCAGCAATTTCTTTTTTAATAACATCCTATGGGTTTAGAAATAAGAGGTAAACATTTCAAATACAGGATGATGATTCAAATTACTGGTATAATCATGAAACACAAACTTTAGATAAAATCGAGAGTTGTTTCATTTAATGTATGTGCAACAGCCTTAACTTTGGGTTCAGTTATTTGAATGACTTTGCCTGAATCTTTCCCATTCTAAAATTGGGTAGAAATTGGATGGCAAATCACTGTGAGCCAGTTACCTCAGCATAGTTCACCGTGTGTGTGACTTCACAAATATAGTAATTGAATGTTATTACTTTCAAATTTTGACATGAAGCATTATGATCAAGGAAATGGAGTTGCCTTATGCATTAAACCCATAATTTAATTCTATCGACATTTTCATAGTCATGCCTCCAGATTTTATCTTTTTTGGCAAAATTTTGATTCCACAGTTTGGTTTGACTGAAATAAATATTTCCTGGATGTCTGGCTAGAAACTTTGCTAACAACCCCAGAGGTGCCATTTTCTTATTAATAAATTTCATCTGAGCCTTACTTCTTCCTGTATTCAATTTCCTTTCATACATGCAAGTCCCTGGGATGGTCCCATGGGTAGGGCATGCACATTTCTTATAATAACAAAGCATTTTAAAAAATTTAAGGTCAGGTTGAAAAATTCTAGGACTAATTCTGCAAAGAGGAGGGACCGTTAACAGGCGTGAGGATAGAAGAGTAGGTTATCACATTTGCAGCAGCAATAGATGAATATGATGTAAATTTGAGATTTGTCTTGCTAGTTGAAGAAAGAGCCTACAAAATCCATTTTTCTGTTTTCAGCTTGTCAGTCACCCATTCAGTATGTTGGCAAAGTACCGCCTGAGCAGAGTGTGTAAGGAAATAATAATGAAAGCAAAAGTATGTCAGAAAGTGACTTCCAAATGGTTGAAGGCATGTGATTTTCAGCACGGTGTGTTACAGAAATGTCAAGAATGGTGTATTTAATATGTGCAAGATAATGTCAATGTGCACAGAGGGTCTTTATTTCTTATCTAAGTAATACTGTTAATGTTCAAGAATAAAAATGATTGTTTTACAGTTTAGATTCTGAGATAGCAAAACCTGATTTTTCAGCCATGACCTGCATGAGAGAAGCATCTTAGGAAGTCTTAGATCATACTTTTGAGTTTTTAACTTTAATTTATATAGTTTTTTATGTTTTAATATTTTTGTGAACTGGTGTAAATTGTTAATGCATATAAGCTTGTGTATTTTTGTAAATAGTTTTGTGATTTATTTCTTGCCCCATATGTAAATATTTAGAATCTCACTTCTTCCAGACTTATTTGAAGCCGAGTTGTGGGTTTTGGGTTTTTGTTTGTTTCTTTGGTTGGTTGGTTGGTTGGTTGGCTGGGGGTGGGGGGTTGGGGAAGGATTTTGTACCTGGAGATGGAGATATCTTGTGGTTTAAAGCAATTGTCCCACTGAAAGAAATTCAAATATCAACAGAATTATTTCAGGTTAAAACAGACATCTTGGTGTATGTGTTTCCTTTTTGACCTAATATGAGTTATAATGAAATAGGTGGGGATACTTGATTTGGGATAGTGGAACCAAAAGAGAAATGTCTGTATGGCACAGCCTATTATGCCAAAGGGTACGTTATGTGAGAAAAGGTGTTAAATGTCTCCTGTTTTTGTCTGTTAGCCACTGTGTGCTGCCTGGCTACATTTCCTCCAGGTCAAACACTATTCCCTTTAGAGCTGCAGAGGCCTCTTAATCAGTCTTGGAAAGTTTAGGCAGATTTGCTACTTTCTACACCCTAAGGACCCTACTCCCTGTTGCTGCGGCTTGGCCCCCAAGTTTGCATTTCCAGAAAACTGAGTTGGCTTTTTCTCTGAGCATCCTCCAGAAGGGGATTATGAATAAAAACCATGTTTTAAAAGATTCCCGCAAAGCATCTTGGACATCACATTTCTCTTCAGGGTGAAAGGATCAAAAAATAATCACCCCTTAGGCTAGGCAACCTGTGGTAAGCTGGCTTGTGGCAAACCTGAATAAGGTATTTCAATGAGACAAGTTGCCTTAGATCTAAACCAAGTGCTGCAAGTAACCCAGCAGTCCAATGGTGGATCCAGAGCCTATTCTGGCACCAAAGCTCTGAGTATCAACCAGGACTTTCAGGGGGTGGAGAGAACCCTCAATATTCAGCTGATATTTGTTTTTCTACTGGAAGCCATAAACTATAAATCATTCTTCATTTTAGAGTACTGTATTAGAGGCCTATCCCTTTTTGCCAGGGAAAGTTACTATTCATGATCCAGCCATCTTTCTGTGACTGCGTACCACACTCCAGACTTCAACAAAGATTTCACATCTGCTTCAATAAGCACTCCCAGACAGAATATGTGTGTTCCCATGGAAACTGCTCAGATGGGATTAAAGAAAAGACAGGTGGCAATCTCCACTGGATCTACTACTTGGTTTTCTGGGACTGCTTCCTATGCCAGCTATTTCACTGTTAAGTTTCCTTCATACTGATAAGAATATGGCACCTACCTCTTAAACTGTGTATTTATCATTGGGGAATTAGAGACAAATACATTGGTGGAATTAAAGATGTTAGTTTTTGTGGTTCTATAGGAAAAGCCACATTTTAAAGTAATATTGACTCTGCATTAGTCAAACTTTGGGTGTCTGGAAACACCAGAAATAAGACAGTTTCGTTGGCCATGTTTTCCACACAGTTCAGAGTGTATCTCTGGGAAAGTATGAGGTTTGACTTTTTTTTTTTTTTTTGAAGCAGGTTCTCATTCTGTCAGCCAGGCAAGAGTGCAGTAGCACAATCATGGCTTACCTCAGTCTTGATCTCCTGGCCTCAAGCAGTCCTCCCATCTTAGCCTCTGAGTAGCTGGGACTACAGGCTTGTGCCATCACACCTGGATAATTTTTTTTTTTTCTTTTTTTGACGGGGTCTTGCTCTGTTACCCAGGCTGGTCTCAAACTCCTGGCCTCAAGCAATCCTCCTCAGCCTCCCAAAGTACTGAGGTTGCAGGCATAAGCCATGACTAGCCTAATTTTTATTTTAAATGTTATGAAAGTATTCCACAAATTTTGTCAATATAAAGTGTCATCATTTATATTTATGGATTTCTGTACCATAATTTAGTGATACCCCAGAGACACAGATGAAAGATTTGGTTTTCTACCAAGTGCTCTAACACTAGTATCCTTTTTGGGGTTTTGTACCTTTTTTTTTTTTTAGTGTAGTTTAATCTTTGCCTTCCGTTGTCACTTCTTGCTGCTGTCTAGGGACTACCTCTTTCTCCTTCTCTTTGTAATTCTAATCTGTCTTGGAAATGACATAATTAAGGTTGTCAAAATGGTGAGCAAACAAAGTTCTGAACTGGAGCCTAAGAAGTTTGTCCCAAATTTATATGAACTTTGTATCATTTATGTTTTGTTATTCTGAAACTCTTCTTTTCTCCTAACAAAGTACTTAGATAGCAGAGGCTCGGAAAGAGAGAGATTATTGTTAAGGATGCTCAGAATGGAGAATGAAACAAAGACTGTAAGAGTCACCCTGCATCTGACAGTCTGCAGGAAAGCTGTGAATAGACACGATGGCCTTTCCCCATTAGTGACTGCAGAGTATCTCACTCCATAGCAGACTGCTAGTCCATAGAGGAAGCTTGCATCTACAATTAAGAAACAAGGTCTTATGCAGACATGCAGCATCACCTGTCACTGAATCATTCATTTGGTGTTGTTTCTTAGTTTCCCAAAAACATTTTGAAAAACAACCTGAGGCTTATCAGGCACTGGTTCATGTTTTAACCTCAGCAAATAGTTCTCAACCTTTAGAATCTATATGAGACACCTGCAGGGCTAGTTAAACGAAAATTTTTGAGCAACCGCCGTGCAGCTTGACCCACTACTTCTGGGATTGGACTCAGGGATCTACAATTTTAGCACCCACTCCATGTGATTCTGGTGCAGGTGGCTGAGAAATACTGATCTAGGGAGTATGTTTAATAGGCTTCTTTCAAAGGGAGCAGACTAGTTCATTGAGGTTTACCACTTTTTCTCATTCACATGTTGGTCCCTGTCACTGTAGTGATACTGGAACAGAAATTTATCATTAATTTTTTCTGTCCCTGGGGTTATATTAAGTCCAGGCTCATATATAACAGTGACATGTACAAATTAGAACTAATTGAACTTAACAATATAGAAAATTCAACATTTTCTAAAAAGGTAATATACTATGAATCGTCTACACCAATGCATCCTATTATGTGCTCTGTAACAGTTAAATCTTCTGGATGGGGGATGTTTAGGCTGGTTAGGAAGTGAAGCCGATGCATATTTACTATTTAGGCAACTACTATAAATACTGCACTCATGGAAAACAGAGTGGCTCTTAGAACCAAGTGATGTGCCTTTCCTCCCTAAAACTTTTTTTTTTTTTTTTTTGAGTTGGAGTCTCACTCTGTCGCCCAGACTGGAGTGCAGTGGCCGCTCCCGGCCACCGCAGCCTCGACCTGCTGGGCTCCTGCCTCAGCCTTCCGAGTAGCCGGAATTACAGGCATGCGCTACCACGCCCGGCTGATTTTTTGATTTATTGTAGAGATGAGGTCTCGCTGCCCAGGCGGGTCTCGAACCCTCAGGCTCAGGCAACCCACTCACCTCAGCCTCCCAAAGGCGCTGGATTACAGGCTGAGCCACCGGGCCTGGCCCCTAAAACTTTTATAAGAACTATCACACAATTAGCTTATTTGACTTTTTAAGGTTTTTTGGTCTTTTGTTTTTGCATTTTATCAGTTGTGGGCAACAGTATACCTATGTTTTTAATAGCTAATAACTAACTTTATGCTTTCTATAGTGCTAGTCGCTGTGGTAAGCATTTTACATCTGTTAACTCATTTATTCCTCGTAATCTATCAGTTTATAGATAAAACCAAGGCACAAGGTTAAGTACTTTGTTCAGTATCAGGCAATTAGTAGTGAGTGTGGAGCTGAAGTTGAGACACAGGCACTCTGGCATAGTTTATGATTTAATAAAAAACAGACTTTAGAGTCGGATAGTTGAATCCTGACTAATAATAGTTCTAACACCCCTACTCAACTGCTAGCCCTTTCTAAAGCTATTTCTAAAACTCTTACTAAGCTATGACTTTCTCATCTCTAAAATGGGTATAATAATCCTATAAGGGTTACATTATAGATATTTCTAAAGAGCTTAACCAGAGAGCAAATACTGAATAAAGGCTATCCAGAATTTTTTAAGTAGTGCAAGATTGTGTGACAGTTAAAGGGAAGAGGGTTGTATTATGCTTATATAATTGTATCATTAAGAATTTATTCAGGGCCAACCTTTCTTTTTAAAAAAATGAAAGGTTTCACATGGTTGACATATCTTGCAGAAGAGAGTCTTGGCAATTAGCGATGCAAGACGTAATTGAGCAGTTAAGATGGGATTTCACAGTGAATCTTGAAGCATGATGTAGTAGAGAAAATCCTTGCTTACCATGAGGTCTGAGTAAATACCAAAAACTATAGTGCGATTTTTCAGTGGAAACTTCAACAAGATGGCGCTGATTATGACTGAACAATATCTACATTCTAAAACAATGTCTAGAACTATATTTATCCATTGCATCTGATAACTTTGCAGTTCAGAGAAGTGGTCTTAGTAACCTCTGTGAGCTGTGCTTTTTCTCCTAATGAATGTTGCTTTCTGCAGGCATCACTGTCTTGTATTGCCCTTATTGCTCATAGGCTAATCCAAGATGGCAAGGAGAGAAGCAAAATTGTGAATTTCTGCAAAACAGTGGTGGGGAAAACGGGTCTGGTTATTTTACAAAACAGTTGCTAAAAAGAGATGGATTTGACTACCCATTTTCGGATAGTAAAACTTAGTAAATAATAATAGTCTTTTTCGTTATTCTTTAACACATACTCTTTTCCTGATTCAAGATTGGTTAAAAAATACATTGAATATAGAAGAGTATAGTGATTGTACTGATAGCACTAACAATTTGTTGGTCGCTGCCATGTACCAGGCTATCCTAAGTGCTTTTGCATATAATAGTATGAACTCATTAATCTTATTTTATTGTCACTTTATAGGTAAACTGAGGTCCAGGACGTTTAACTTTAATGTGCCTGACTTCATACCTTTGAGGTTAGCTGGGATTGAAGCCCAAGCTCTCTGACCCCATAGCCTGCAGTTTTTAATCACTGTTGCACAGCATGCCCATTTTGTACTTTCAGAGATCCTGAACCCTAACACAGGAGTGCCTGCAAGGCTAAGAGTCTGTGCTGCTGATTTGCAGGGAATGCAACCCCTCCCCCATTAATTAGGGAAGGCTGGGGTTATGCTATAGTAACACCACCAAAGTCTCATTACTTTGCCACCAAAAAAAAGGTGTTTCTTCTGCTCCAGCCAAGTCTGTGGAGGTTCAGGTGACACTCCTGAGTCATAGTCCTTTGTTCAGTCCTGGCATTTCTAATGCCATCGTTTGAAAT